ATTTCATTGAAACTTTGATGTGGCTTTGAAGTAGTCTTTAATATTGATTTAAATGAAGGGTAGAAGTTTGTTATGTAAGATGTCTTTGTTCGTTTGTAAGTAGATTATAATATTGATTTTATTGAAGATGTTAAGGAGATTTCAGTGATGTGTGTAAGATTATTCTGAGGTCAAGGCTGAAGTCATTGAATATTGAGGGAGAAGGTTATTAAGTATGTGACTTAATTTTCGAGGATTAAAAAAATATTATTTTCAACTTAAATTTACAGATAATCCGTAAAAGTCAGACATAAAGCAAATAACACGTTGGAAAGCCTAAATATTGGTCGTTAATTAAAATTGTCATTGATAATAGCACCGTGTATGATAATCAAGAAAAATTGATAATTTGTGAAGCGTCGATTTTCGATAATTCCAACAAAATGTTTTATAATTTGTCAAATCATTAGAGAAGCTACAAAGCCTAAATGATGGTCTTTAATTAGAATATTCGCGGACCGCTGTGTCACGTACAATAATCAAGAAATATGATAATTTGTGAGTTAAGTTTCGATGATAAAAATAATATTGTTTTCAACTTAAATTTACAGATAATCCGTAAAAGAAATAAAGCGAATAACAAGTTTCATTATTATATATATATATTTCTAAATATAAACAAAGTTGTGAAATTGTTTATAAGCAAAATTTGCAATTTCCAAATATTGTTGATGCATTTGTATATTGTATATTAAACTTGTGTAAAAAAAATAAACAAGTTGTGTGTAATTTTATGAAAAAATAACAAGTTTTTATTTCCAAGTAGTTTATTAATCTTAACATTTCATTGAAACTTCGATGTGGCTTCGAAGTAGTCTTTAATATTGATTTCATTAAAGGGTAGAAGTTCGTTATGTAAGATGTCTTTGTTGGTTTGTAAGTAGATTATAATATTGATTTTATTGAAGATGTTAAGGAGATTTCAGTGATGTGTGTAAGATTATTCTGAGGTCAAGGCTGAAGTCATTGAATATTGAGGGAGAAGGTTATTAAGTATGTGACTTAATTTTCGAGGATTAAAAAAATATTATTTTCAACTTAAATTTATAGATAATCCGTAAAAGGCAGAAATAAAGCAAATAACACGTTGGAAAGCCTAAATATTGGTCGATAATTAAAATTGTCATTGATAATTGCACCGTGTATGATAATCAAGAAAAATTGATAATTTGTGAAGCGTTGATTTTCGATAATTCCAACAAAATGTTTTATAATTTGTCAAATCATTAGAGAAGCTACAAATATGATATTTCACATATTGTAAAGCCTAAATGATGGTCTTTAAATAGAATACTCGCGGACCGTTGTGTCACGTACAATAATCAAGAAATATGATAATATGTGACTTAAGTTTCGATGATCAAAATAATATTGTTTTCAACTTAAATTTACAGATAATCCGTAAAAGGTAGAAATAAAGCAAATAACAAGTTTCATTATTATATATATATATTTCTAAATATAAACAAAGTTGTGAAATTGTTTTTAAGCAAAATTTGCAATTTCCAAATATTGTTGATGCATTCGAATATTGTATATTTAACTTGTGTTTTTTACACAAATAAACAAGTTGTGTATAATTTTATAAAAAAATAACAAGTTTTTATTTCTAAGTAGTTTATTAATCTTAACATTTCATTGAAACTTCGATGTGGCTTCGAAGTAGTCTTTAATATTAATTTTATTGAAGGGTAGAACTTCGTTATGTAAGATGTCTTTGTTTGTTTGTAAGTAGATTATAATATTGATTTTATTGAAGATGTTAAGGATATTTCAGTGATGTGTGTAAGATGTTTCTGAGGTCAAGGCTGAAGTCATTGAATATTGAGGTTATTAAGTATGTAGATTTGATTCGCGAAATGTTTGAGGTCTGATGTAAAATGTGGTGATGATGTGGGAACGAAGTGTTTCCTTTTATAAACGACGTGCCGATAGAGATCAGAGGATGTTGAGGTTGAGGATGAAATCTTGCTCGATTAGAATATGTACGGGTGCGAGAAAAGGGTTGGAGCTGGTGGATGAGGTTAGCCGTTTGGGCAGGAAACTGAGGCGGCGGCGGCGGATTTGTTCGCCTCGCATAGTGTGTTTAGCATATTCGGCAGAGGCCGTAATTCAGCCGGAAAAGCTTGGAGCAATGAAAGTGATAAACCCGGGTGGTGGTGGGATTGGATATGGTATGCGCCCGCAAAACTCGGGGGTTGTTGGTGGCACCGTTGTATCGCTTATTGTCGACCGCATAAACGGAACAATATGTTGATACGAATCGGGTTTATTGCCCCGTGCGCCGCTGAATATCGAGCAGATATTCTCCCTATCATCTATTAGAGTAGATTAGGGCCGATGTTTCGATGATCCGGCCCCGACTCAATTACATCGAAACGGTCAATATTCACTGCTATTCACACTTCGGATGACCGAAGCCGACGCTCTCCTCATCTCCCCAACCCAAACCAAACCAAAACCACCCTCAAAACCGTCCGTGTCCATCCTCGTCCACTCACCGCATCAGCACAGTACAAACCTGTGGGTTCACGGATAATCCACCTGCGGACAACATCTTCCCTCCAATTTCACTAGCGATGAAAGCAATTCGCACAGTTCCCAGGATTAATGGTCCAACCACTCGAGGAAACTTCGATCATCCCGTTCATTACTTAATCGATTTCTGGATTTATTACCGTATTAAACTCGTTACGAGATGCATACCAAATGTCCCTAATCTCCTTAAAACTTACCATGGAAATCTCCCATTAATACAACTTTCAAATCTATTTTTATTTTCATCTAGTAATTAGTTCATAACTATATAAACTTTGTATCCATTTCAAATTACAGAAAATATATTTGAATTTATTCTAAATACACTGGATTTTCTTTTAAGCATTGAAAATTTGTGTATTTTTTCACTTTTGACCAAAACAGTAAGTTACAAAATGGTAAGAGCTACAAATCTGGACGTACAGTTACAATTCGAGTTTGTGTTTGTCAAGTAATACTAGAAGATGTGAGGAAAATTCCATTTGTTATCAACCAAGAAATATAGTCATGATTATTTTCAATTTAGAAAAGATTTGAATAAATATTGATAGGAACTTCGTGAAAAGTTGAATTAGTTTTAGACGTTTTTGCTAAATTTTACAATTTGTATAAATTTGTATATCTGCAGAAGTTTGCGCTGAGGACGTAATGATTCTGTATAAAGAAGTTTCAGTTTGAGAGAAGAGGACGATTTTTATTAAATTCTCGTTGCAAACCGCCCCAGACACACGCGATAGTCCTTGTCCGAATCCTTCGCAATGAAAAGGCAATAATACTAAAAACGTTCCATAAAAGTTCATTCCGAGAGACACATCCAACTCACTCTTCTCATCCTCCGAATAAAAAAAAGGACAATAAACATATAGATCCTATGTTTAAGTATGAAGGAAGAGATACTGCGTGGAAGTTCAATAAGCAACAGAGCGAATATAAGGATTTTTGATTCCATCCTTGAAGGCTCGAAGAGAATGTGATAGGTGAGTATAAACATTCGTTCGGACGGACGGAATCCCTCCTCGGTAGCTCTATGATAAATGCGTCCTAGGAGGACCGCAAAGACCGGAAGAGGAATGATTTAATATGGCCCAAAATAAATTTCCTCTTCACCCAAAAGAATAGTTTCGCCTCTTATTTCGTCTCCATTTTCCTCATTTCGTTCACAGCCTCTCCTTCTTCTCCTATTTTTATTGTCCGTTGAATATATGAAGTCCCTTCCTCATCCATTCTATTCTTTTTTTCTTTCTTTCATTACAATTTCTCTTTCAGTATTGCAGTGGCCGCGAAATATAAATATTTAATAGTTTCATACGGGCTTTCGGTGTAATCCAGCAGGTATAATTTAAACTAAGCCGGCTGAAGGAAATTGAAATTTGCGAAAGCCCCGTGCGAGAGGAGCCCAGTCTGAAATATTGTGCGCCGCCCACAGGACCAAAAGTAAATTACCATATGTTGCTTCAGGGGTTGAGGGAGAAAGCTGAATGCAAATTAGGAGACGCGGAAATGGAAGGACTCTTTTATTTGTTCTTGTGAACGAGAGGTCCTTGCGCTTCTTCATCTTAATCTAATAAACATTATTTTAATATATACTCGAAACGCGCAATCATAAAGTAATTTGTCCGGTCTTGGCGAAGGAATGTAATAAAAATCTCGAGCTTCCTACCTTCCTCCTCATTCCGTTCCACCTGGCCTGCCGATGTGATTAATGACGAGGGGATTCCCAGCTTTTTGCTCGGGATGCGACCTCCTTCGCAAACCTCACGAAAGCGACGACTTCGGTGAGGAAAGAAAAAGCTCCAATACCCACAGTATTTCACCAATAAATGTTTGGCAAACTTTTCCTAGGCCTTTCATGTACTATTTATAGCTTATTTTAACTACAAATCGGTCTATCTGGGTCACACGGACCTTTCGATATTACATAAATCCTTTTGTCCTGAAACACACACACAAAAAAATTGATACTTTATTGTTTTCGTCAATATTGAATGAACACAAATTAAATCCCATTACGAACAATGAAAGAACAGATTTCATAGATTCATTTTATTTAGTGCTAAATTAACAATATAGAAATCAACAATTTGTTGTAATCATATGAAATATTAAATGAAGTCTCTTATTATAATCAACAACAAAAAAATTGTAGGAAATGTTTACTTTTAAATACATTTTAATTATATACTTAACTTTTACATCCTGTGAAATGAATAGTTAATATAGAAAAAATATTAAAAAGCACATGGAATTCAATTTTAAAATTAATGAGTTTCCGACGAAGCTTTCATAAATGTAACAAGTTAATTAGAAAAAGCTACAAGGAATAAAAATAAAATAAAGTATTTGCAGAATAATTGGATTTCCTATAATTATATATTTTTTTGTTTAAATTTGTACACTATGAACTTTTTAGGACTTACCTATAAATACTTACCGATTGGGTACAAGAAAATGTATTAGCATTGATAATGAATTTGGAAGAAGTTGTTGTTGGTGAGGAGACAGCAAAGACACGAAAGATGATGAGCAGTTTCTTGCTGAAATCAAGGCGCCTCGTCGTTGCCTAAACTTTGGCAAACTTCACGCCTGTCATGTACTATTTATACCAAGGGTTTAACTACAAATAGGTTAATCTAGGTCGCAGATATGAACTTAATCTGGGGACGACGAAGTCACATCGCATCAACGGAACGAAAAGAAAAAAGAAAACGCACACATGAACTATTATTATTTCCTTATTTAAGTCAGTATGTACAGATATTGTAGTAATAATAATATTGAATAGATACAAGTGTTTCTTTTTTTTATATATATATTATCTTCATTTAAGATAATTTATGTTGTTTTTTTTTATGTATATAATAATATTAGGATAAATTTGATTCACTTTATAAATTTACAAAATCAAAGGCTAGTTTTGGATTAGTTGTATTTACAATTAGAGAGGAGAGAAACAAGGGTAGTTTTCGTGAAAATACATGTAGGGTTTTTTTTTTCTTTTAACTTCAGTTAGTTTAGAGAAATGAAAGAGGTAGTGAAATTGAAGAAATACATGTTTTTGTTTGTTCAAAACGAAAAAAAAATAGTTTATGAGGGGATGTGAAATATATAGAAATTCGACTAACAATGGAGATTATGCCTACTTCATTTAACATCACAATGATTATTTTTTTCTTTATATTTTTTTGTATATATATATATATATTTATATTTTCCTAAATAGATTTTTATATTTTATTTCGCTAAAACTCGTGCTCGTCCTCGTAGTACACACATCCACGACAAATATAATTTCACTATGTACATCATCATCTCCGCTCCATCGTTCTCAAGTTTGCACATTCAAAGTCTTCGATCTTTTACATTCATATTTTTTTTTGTGTATATATACAGAAGAAAAACTCACACCGCACACTTAAAACAAAACTTGTATACCCATTTTATTTTTATTTTTTGGATTGGTACTCGTCCTTGCTATAATAAACGCTAGATCATTATTATTTTGTTGCTGTTGTTGTTGTTGTTTTTTGTTGTTGTTGTAGTTTGGTTTTTAGATCATCTTTATCTCTCTGTATCTGGGGGGATGCTTCTTGCTGGGTGATTAGAATTGATTCGATCATCTGACTACGGTGACGAGGAACAGGGAGACGGTCACCAGGACAACCATTTGCCTGCTCAGGACTGCTCTGCTGGTCTGCATCGCCGCCGGGTGTTCGCCTGAAACAAATTGTCACGATCCATTACGTTTGGGTTTTGGGGGCAGCAGCAATAAATACATTATATTCTGCTCGGCGTCCGCCGCCACCGCCGCAGCCGCCTCCAACCTACTTTCATTCCGCTCAGTGAGTTATTGCGCTGCCATATTTAGCTGCGCAGCTCATTTTTTAGCGGTCGACTACAATCATAATCAAAACTACGCCAATACTAATTACAATGTTGCTTTTTTAGGTCAAGGTTTCCAATTTTGAACCGCCTCCTAGATTCGACCACTAACATTCTACACCTACTAAGACGTAAAATTTATAACTTTTGTATTAAATGGAGTTGATAATTAGAGATTGTCTTCTTGCAGTTAACAATTAAATAAATACATTGTTTTCTACAACTACCTCCATCCAATACTAATCAAGAAGTTATAAATGCCTAAATTGAACCTGTTTCCTTGATTGGACCACCACTTGAGCTTTACATATAACACCAAGCAACTAGACACTCCTAGTACAGTTTAGTTTATAAAAAATGTAAAAGTTAATTTAACATTTGATAACCTTTATAATAGATGAAGTAAAATAAATATTATTAGAGTATTTTGGTTGATTTCAATACCTGTAGGTTAATTTTAATTTGGGAATTGAGAATTAATTCGTAAATAACGCATTTCCATTAGTAGCTTGAAGATTTGCAGGAAAACGGAAAGGCAATAACACTAGAGAATGCAAAAATGTAATTACGTAACTTAATGAGAATCTGAATAATGCAATAAGAAATCCAATTAATTCGAGAAATAATCGGAGTTCAACGTTTCTTCCTTCTTTTCTTTTTTTCTTCTTTTCGATGTCCAGCAATTACAAATGGTATAAAACGAGGTGTAATGGATCGATATGAAAAGAAAAGCAGTGCAACGAATTTCAAATTAAAAGACCAGAAGTTAATTGGAACGTGGAAAATGAGCCGAAATTGTTTGGGTATAATTAGGAAACAATTGGAACAATATCTATCTCTTTATCTGGTAAAAGCTGAGTCGCGAATCAAATTGGACAGTTGTAATTAAATCGACTCGAAATTTAATCACGCAATCTCGATTCGTTGCGGAAGTGGAACATCGGACACCTCTGCGACGATCGATCCGAAGCTTTCGGTAGGATCAAAACAAACCATCTTCGGGATGAAATCAGAAGCAGGACTAGATTCGAGTCCGTTCACGTCTATTTATATAAAAAAAATATATAAATGAATGAATGAATGACATCTGTTATTAATGTTCCGAAACGGAAACGGAACGGAGCGTTATGCAATCGAACCTATAAATCATCGCCGATATTGACTTAGTTCGTGTCAACGGATTCCTCGATTGACGTGACTTATACTGGCTTTTGGTTGGATAAACCTATGAATTGGTATGATAATAGACATTAAGTAGTGGAGATTCATTTGTAGTTTATCGGTTAAATTATCAATCAATTAATCAACCGGACTCTCATCAATTAGTGGAATTATCATTATTTCGTGACTTATTGTAGTTGCATATTCAACTCACGAATATATAATCATCTAATTGATTGTTATAAAATGAATCAGGATATCATCAACTAGAGGAAATTAATTCTTCTCTTCTTCCATATTATAATCAACCAATATATGAATATTTTTATTCAAATGAATTGTTAAAATATCACATATCAACCAGGATATTATCAACAAAATGAAATGAATTCATGTCTTCTAGCATAATAAAATCAACCAGAATATCATCAACGACATGAAATTACTTCCTGACTTCATTCATATTTCAATCAACCAAAATATCATTAAAAACTTTGAAATTAATTGTCCAAATATTCCATATCAACCAGAATATTTTCAACAAAATGAAATGAACTTTTGTCTTCTAGCAAAATAAAATCAGTGACAATATGATCAACAACATGAAATTAATTCCTGGCTTCATTCATATTACAATCAACCAAAATATCATTAAAAACTTTGAAATGAATTGTTAAAATATCCCATATTATAATCAACCAGGATATTATCAACAAAATGAAATGAACTCATGTCTTCTATCATAATAAAAGCATCCAGAATATCAACATACTGAAATTAATTCCTGACTTTATTTACATTACAATAAACCAAAATATCATTAAAAACTTTGAAATTAATTGTCCAAATATCCCATATTATAATCAACCAGAATATTTTCAACAAAATAAAATGAACTTATGTCTTCTAGCAAAATAAAATCAGTCACAATATGATCAACAACATGAAATTAATTCCTGGCATCATTCATATTAGAATCAACCAAAATATCATTAAAAACTTTGAAATGAATTGTTCAAATATCCCATATTATAATCAACCAGGATATTATCAACAAAATGAAGCATAATAAAATCAATCAGAATATCATCAACAACATGAAATTAATTCCTGACTTTATTCATATTACAATAAACCAAAATATCATTAAAAACTTTGAAATATCCCATATTATAATCAACCACAATATAATCAACAAAATGAAATGAACTCTTGTCTTCTAGCATAATAAAATCAATCAGAATATCAACAACATGAAATTAATTCCTGACTTCATTCATATTATAATCAACCAAAATATCATTAAAAACTTTGAAATTAATTGTGCAAATACCCCATATTATAATCAACTAGGATATTATCTATAAAATTAAATGAACTCATGTCTTCTAGCATAATATAATACACCAAAATATCATCAACAACATAAAATTAATTCCTGACTTCATTAATATTACAATCAACCAGGATATTATCAATAAAATGAAATGAACTCATGTCTTCCATCATAATAAAATCAACCAGAATATCATCAACATGAAATTAATTCCTGACAACATTCATATTACAATCATTCAAACTATCATTAAAAACTTTGAAATTAATTGTTGACTTTATTCATATTAGAATCAACCAAAATATCATTAAAAACTTTGAAATTAATTATTCAAATATCCCATATTATAATAAACAAAATGAAATGAACTCATGTATTCTAGCATAATGAAATCAACCAGAATATCATCAACAACATGAAATTAATTCCTGAATTCATTCATATTACAATCAACCAAAATATCATTAAAAGCTTTGAAATTAATTGTTCAAATATACCATATTATAATAAACCAGGATATTATCAATAAAATTAAATAGATTCATGTCTTCTAGTATATTAACATCAACCAGAATATCATCATATAAATATAATTAATTATTGACAAAAGAAACTTAATTTATTACTCAAAGCATTGGAAATATAAAACCAGATGCATGCAAAATGTACTTTTGAACAAATCTAACACGAAGTAGAGTATATTTATTTGTTTTTCATGGAATTGGAAATAGCATGTCATATATACGAAAAATTGAGGTAGCTAGGCTAGTTGTTGACTGCAATATCACATCAAGTTATAATAATAAACCGAATGAAATATCGATCCTCTGTTTCGTTCGCATCAACTTACTCAATTATTTCGTTTCAAATTGGAAAACTTTATTGGCAACGAATGAACATAATCCACACCTCAGATTCCAATTTATATATGGGATTAATAATGACATTTTTATAGATATTCATTAAAATTTATTGCAAATCTAATAATTGCATATGAAGTTATAAAAAAATCTATACATTATTTAAAAGTTTTAATTAATAGATTTTTAATGTAATCCAGAACCCTTGCAAGTTTTAAATGGAGTAAACTTTACGTAATTTCAAAGTTTATTAATTTTCAATACTTTGTAGTTTCATTATATATATATTAATTTTTCATTAAAACAGAGACGAAAACAAAATTTGAAACTTGTTGTTATTATTTCTTAATTTATATCATATCATTAAATTCTTGAAATCTAGTTAACAATGATATAAATACTTGGAAGATGAATGAATGCTGTGACAGTTGTTTGACAAATGACGCTTTTACAATATGTCAACCCTTGCAGTGTCATCTTTATTTTGGTGTATATCCTGACAAATAATTTGTTTTAGTAACAGTCATTAAAAACGTTAATTATTATACCAAAAACTGTGCAAGTGATTGATCATCAAGGGGGAAGATTGGGATGCTGTGAATCGTGGAGCAAGGACAAAAAGCTAATGACTAGATTACGCAACCGTAGGTAGTAATTAATGGGAGTAGGTGAATGGATAGTTCGTGTGTATGTGTATATAGGGATTGAAACGGAAGGGCATTTCTAACATCTGTATTTTGGGAATGTGTCGCCGTTGGTGGTATGCCTATGACAAATAAGGGCCTCCCCGAAAACCCAGCCCAGAAATTCCGGAGATAGTGAAACCCCAGAAACCGTGGGCGCGGGGAGTAAATTAATCCCTTAAAATTATTATCGTCTGTCGCCCCGAGAACAGACACCGCCCAACAAGAAATACCTTCCATCCCCTAATCCGAAAAACGACAAACAAAACAAAAAATCGGATGCAGCAGTAACAAAATAAACTTCGCACGTAATCTTTAATCTGACCCCGTGAAATATCGATGTACGTGACGGCCGTGCGTTCGCAATATTCGGTTTATCGATTTAAATATTACGTAACCGTGGCGTGGGGAGAGAGTTGAGGTGAGTTGGGATCGTAGAAAGCGGATTAATATTATCCAACAACAACAAAAAAATATAACAGAATAACAGCTAACGCCTAAAAAGAGCGTAGACTGAGAGGTTGAATAAGGAAAGAAGAGAGAAAAAAAAGCGTTATATAGAAAGAAACGTAAAAACCTGTAAAAGGACGAAGAGATTAAGGATGTGTTTTATAACGTCGGTGCTTTTCCATTCCGTTCCATGGAAAAAGCTGAGCTTCGCGTGGTGAAAAGCAGGTGCTCTGCAGCAACATATTTTATGACCGCTCGTTATTCTGATTGCATCAAATGAAACTCCAAGCCCGTTGTCGGACACCTTCGGCAATGATGTTTAATTCTCCCTTTTTTTTTTGATGTTGCTAAAAGCCCACGATTGAATAATTTATATGGTCGAAAACCCGTTTTTTTTCGTGTTGCTTTCGTCGTCTAAATTGGAAAAAAGGAAGGGGGCGAAATGGTGGAAGGTGGAGATGGGATGATGTAACGAAAATAAAATATATATATATTTCTTGAACGAGAATACATGGATATCGTAAAGTTGGCTACTTTCGACTCCAATCTCACTAAATTGTTTTACAACGAGTCTATGTCTCCGGGACTACTGCTTTGGAGCTGGAGGCCCCCAGGGAGCTCAGCTGCTGGCGGCATAAAATTCAAATTGATTTCGACTTTATACACGTATATAATCTTAGATTCTACGTGGTATATCAATGATACCACAGCAGTGTTACTTCATCTAGCCTTTGCTTTTCGAAACCACAGTTTAATGCTACATATTAATCCTTGAATCAAAAAAAACTTTAGCAGTAACTTTCAAATAAGAAGTCTTAATAAAACTTTGGGATTTAGAATAAACAACATAATATTACAAAGATTCCCTCGATAATTAAAAAAATGGATTTGTAACTTTGTTAAAAATCTGTAAAAATAATAGAAACATTGTTAAAAATTATTCCAGTTGATTCAAATTGATTTAGACTTTATGCACGTATATAATCTTAGATTCTACGTGTTATATCAATGATACCGCAGAAGCTCCTACTTTTCGAAACCACAGTTTAATGCTACATATTAATCCTTCAATCAAAAAAAAACTTTAGCAGTAATTTTCAAATAAGAAGTCTTAATAAAGCTTTGGGATTTAGAAACAACAACTAAATATTACAAAGATTGTGAAAATATACAAGAATAATAATTCCATCGATAATGAAAAAAAAGATTTGTAACTTTGTTAAAAATCTGTAAAAATAATAGAAAAATTGTTAAAATTTATTTTAGTTGAAAGAAGAATGACTTTTTTAGTAATTCAATAATAAATAGAAAGTTGTCACTTGTCAATAGTTAGGTAATCATATAAACTTCAATATGTGAAAAACAAAAATTATGAAAATCTTTACAAAGAGTCATAATAATCGTGAAAACTAATTCTAATAGAAATGATGAAGAAATTGATAGTTTTGTCACAATTTCTGATAAATCAATGATTACGTAATTACAAAAAAAAGTTTTAAACTTTTCTTGGAATTTGAAAACTAGATGATGTAATGTACTTATACGTATATTTCAGGAACCTATCTACCATATAAAATGAGGGATAGGTGTACTAATGTTTAAATCAGAGTAATATTAGAAGAAAAAAAAAGTTATTATTTTGTTTATAAATTTTGATGAAAACTAAAATAAGGTTTGATTGTACTTTTGTATCAAATTTATGTTTTGGTTGGGAATTAAATATTGATTACATAATAGTATTAAACGGTGTTAAATAACGTTGAAAGAGGTTTGAATAGTGTTTGAGCTTTGAAAGGTAGACTAAAGTGTTTTAATTAAAGGAATCTATGGAAGGGATTGAGGATAGAGGAATAGACAGGGGGATTATATGGATGCAACTCACCATTGAGTACGTGGACCATTTTAGTAATTCGATAATTAGTAAAAAGTTGGCACTTGTCAATAATTAGGTGATCATATAAACTTCAATATGTGAAAAACAAAAATTATGAAAATCTTTACAAATAGTCATAGTAATCGTGAAAACAAATTCTAATAGAAATGATTAAGAAATTGATAGTTTTGTCACAAGTTCTGATAAATTAATGATTACGTAATTACAAAAAAAAGTTTTAAACTTTTCTTGTAAATTGAAAACTAGATGATGTAATGTACTTATATGTATATTTCAGGATCCTATCTACCATATAAAATGAGGGATAGGTGTACTAATGTTTTGTTCAGAGTAATATTAGAAGAAAAAAAAAAGTTATTATTTTGTTTATAAATTTTGATGAAAAGTAAAATAAGGTTTGATTGTACTTTTGTATCAAATTTATGTTTTGGTTGGGAATTGAATGCTGATTACATAATAGTATTAAATGGTGTTAAATAACGTTGAAAGAGGTTTGAATAGTGTTTGAGCTTTGAAAGGTAGACTAAAGTGTTTTAATTAAAGGAATCTATGAAAGGGATTGAGGATATAGGAATAGACAGGTGGATTATAAGGATGCAACTCACCATTGAGTACGTGGACCATTCTAGTAATTCGATAATTAGTAAAAAGTTGTCACTTGTCAATAATTATTTGATCATATAAACTTCAATATGTGAAAAACAAAAATTATAATTTTTTTACAAATAGTCATAATAATCGTGAAAACTAATTCTAGTAGAAATGATTAAGAAATTGATAGTTTTGTCACAACTTCTGATAAATCAATGATTACGTAATTACGAAAAAAGTTTTAAACTTTTCTTGTAAATTGAAAACTAGATGATGTTATGTACTTATACGAGTATTTTTGGAACCTATCTACCATATAAAATGAGGGATAGGAGTACTAATGTTTAGTTCAGAGTAATATTAAAAGATAAAAAAATAGTTATTATTTTGTTTATAAATTTTGATGAAAACTAAAATAAGGTTTGTTTGTAGTTTTGTATCAAATTTATGTTTTGGTTGGGAATTAAATACTGATTACATAATAGTATTAAACGGTGTTAAATAACGTTGAAAGAGGTTTGAATACTGTTTGAGCTTTGAAAGGTAGACTAAAGTGTTTTAATTAAAGGAATCTATGAAAGGGATTGAGGATAGAGGAATAGACAGGTGGATTATAAGGATGCAACTCACCATTGAGTACGTGGACCATTTTAATAATTCCATAATTAGTAAAAAGTTGTCACTTGTCAATAATTAGGTGATCATATAAACTTCAATATGTGAAAAACAATAATTATAAATTTTTTTACAAAGAGTCATAATAATCGTGAAAACTAATTCTAATAGAAATGATTAAGAAATTGATAGTTTTGTCACAACTTCTGATAAATAAATGATTACGTAATTACAAAAAAAAATTTAAACTTTTCTTGGAATTTGAAAACTAGATGATGTAACGTATAAGTATACGTGTATTTCAGGAACTTATCTACCATATAAAATGAGGGATAGGTGTACTAATGTTTAGTTCAGAGTAATATTAGAAGAAAGAAATAGTTATTATTTTGTTTATAAATTTTGATGAAAAGTAAAATAAGGTTTGATTGTACTTTTGTATCAAATTTATGTTTTGGTTGGGAATTAAATACTGATTACATAATAGTATTAAACGGTGTTAAATAACGTTGAAAGAGGTTTGAATGGTGTTTGAGCTTTGAAAGGTAGACTAAAGTGTTTTAATTAAAGGAATCTATGAAAGGGATTGAGGATTGAGGAATAGACAGGTGGATTATAAGGATGCAACTCGCCATTGAGTACGTGGACCATTTTAGTAATTTTATAATTAGTAAAAAGTTGTCACTTGTCAATAATTAGGTGATCATATAAACTTCAATATGTGAAAAACAAAAATTATGAAAATCTTTACAAATAGTCATAGTAATCGTGAAAACTAATTCTAATAGAAATGATTAAGAAATTGATAGTTTTGTCACAACTTCTGATAAATCAATGATTACGTAATTACAAAAAAAGTTTTAAACTTTTCTTGGAATTTGAAAACAAGATGATGTAATGTACTTATACGTGTATATCAGGAACCTATCTACCATATAAAATGAGGGATAGGTGTACTAATGTTTAGTTCAGAGTAATATTGGAAGAAAAAAAAAAGTTATTATTTTGTTTATAAATTTTGATGAAAAGTAAAATAAGGTTTAATTGTACTTTTGTATCAAATTTATATTTTGGTTGGGAATTAACTACTGATTACATAATAGTATATTACATAATAGTAATAGCTTTGAAAGGTGGACTAAAGTGTTTTAATTAAAGGAATCTATGAAAGGGATTGAGGATAGACAGGAATAGACAGGTGGATTATAAGGATACAACTCACCATTGAGTACGTGGACCGTGGCCGAAGCGGGACTAGCGTTGGACGGCATGCAGGTGTAATTTCCGGAATCCGAGAGCAGGGCTTTCGTAACCAGAAGCTTGCTGGTCGTTCCGGCTTCCGTCTTCTCCGTTTCGAGGCTGATGCCACCCCTGGGCGAGTCGAAGTCGACGACGGCCAACCCGTGGTACCATAAAACGCTCGACGGCGGCGTCGAATGGACATTCACGGAGCACGTCAACGAGATCGTGCTTCCCTTCTTCACGAAAACCTCTGCAGGTCCTGAGATCGTCGCCTGAGCATCTGCAAACAACGTTTATCACCTCGTAACTAACGGTTTACGATAATCCCCCCAGCAATCATTCAAACACCGAAAACCGACGCCGCCGCCGTCCCCCATTAACATTGCCACCCCCCGCGACGCTGTGCTTTCTACGTAGCCACCGCCGCCTCCTCTGCACTAATTCCCCCCAAGCGATCAATAAACCCACCCCCCTTACACCAAACGCTAACTCCCACCTTGATTGCTCCTACGTATTCTTTGGCTAATATCATTAATGGGATATTAAAATAAACACGAGATAACCACTTTTCAGTACAATAATACAGTTATACTCAATTCCAAACATTCCCTCCAGAAACCTATTTAATTACAATTATTTACCCTACAGAAGTATTTTTAAACAATTAGTAGTATGAAATGTCCCATTTATATATTTATCGCCCCTTAAATATGTAGCGACTAAAATGCATTAAGAAATAAATAAAAAAAAACTAAAGGGGGTTGAAGTGAAGTGGAAGTGATTGTATGCAAATCTACGGTACGTGGCGAGGTGAGTATGCGGTGCAGAATGACGATGGGGATGAGCGAGAGCAAAATTAAAATCAAAGGGCGTGTAGCGTTCAACTATCGATGAAAAAGAAGAAGCTGACGGTGAGAAGAAGAAGAAGGGATGAAAGGTACCTTCGGAACGAGGGCCGGATCGTGTGGCTGCTAGGGAGGACACGTCTGGAACAAAGGAAAACAAGAGAAAAGAGAGAGAAAGAAATAAAATAGAATGAAGAAAGACTGAATGAATGAACAACAGCAACAACAACAACATTGGAAAACGCTTCCGGGGAATTGAAATGGAAGTTCTCTTACAGTTTTGTTCTTTGCAAGTTAAAAATAAACAAGACTAATTTGCGAGTCATCGATTCGCAACCCCTTCAACGTTTTCCATGCCAAGAATTGAGTGGAAAACAACAGATTTACAGAAGGAATGATATAAACATTGAGAGAGAGAGAAAGAAATAAATAAAAATTAAATTGCAGAGATACAAAGCAGTTCGTAGGATTCTTCAGGATGGAATTTTAATTACAGTTTAAACATTGGGAAGGATAATGGTGTTTTCGCGTACGTTGTATTATATATATTATTTTTTTTATTATTATTCCGTTTGGTTATGAGTTTTCTACTCTGCTCGTCGTCATCATCATCCAACGGATTGCCGTCAGGACGGAGCGGCGGCACGTCAACACGGCCCGGCCTCATTTCCGGGTTTCTTGCGGGGGAAAATGTAAGACCGGAAGCGACCGACGCAAGAATCCATTTACTGGCTTCTCATATTTCATAATTTTTAGTAACCGGAGAAATGTAGGAAAGTGGGTTGGGTTAGATTTTGGTTGGTTGGGAAAGGTCGATCCCGATTCTCGAGGAAAATAAAATGCATTTAATGAGCTCCAAGTCGGCACCGACCAAATCGCTCTTATATTTCCTCAAATCTGTATGATTTATGGAACCGGCCGAAATCCATCCCAACGACGGACATTACTCAACTGGCTTTTTGCCTACAACGTAAAATATACAGGGTGCTCCCATTATTTATTATCCTTCAATTGTTATATATAGTTTCAGGAACGAATCAATAGATGGCGAGTCAAGCCTTCGACATATTCCTTGACAGCCATCTATCAAATAAGAACAGTACTAACAAATTTATAACAAATATCCTTAAGATAATATAAAATTGAACGTCATCTTTATATCTGTATAGTTGTACTTTATATTTATTTTATTTTTTTCGGGACCGAAGGAGTTCTTCCTTGATCTTTTGTTTTTTACTTGGAAAAACTGATTCGGTTCCCTTTGGACAAATGTACTCATTGTAAATTTGTTTTATTTTATTTTCTTTGTATCTGTTCTTTTGGTCAATAAACTTGATTATTATTATTATTATCTTTCATAACAAATTATATGTAATATATATATGTTTATCCATGAACGTTTTTCAGCAATCTTTTCATAAATTTAATCGTGATAGAAAACTAATTTTCTTAATAACGTAAATCTATTTGAAAATATTAACCAATTCCTTAGAATCGCTACCAAATATATGAAACTAACTGAAAATGTTTCATATTTTTTTCTAAATACAATTAAAGTAAAATTACATTTACATTTCATAGTTTATTTTTTTTAAGATAGTTAACTCTTGGGTAGCATCTGTAAAGGAATACCATTTTCCTCGAATCGCCTATTCGCTGGAAAATGGAGTGGAATTTTGCAGGGAAAATTAAGTCCGGATAATTACGAAAATACAGTATTATGCTTTACTCGAATTAGCGAAATCGCATGTACGCTACGAAACACCACAGCTCGATTTTAGTTCCTTTTTTAATTAATTAATTAAATTACATAAAAAAAAATAAAGAAGAAATGTAATCTTTATTTGCATGCATGCACTATCAATGAGATCTTACATATCATTAATGTATTCAAAACATTTTAGTTTATTCTATCTTCATTCCAGATTTTGTATTCAACGCACGCAGGCATTAATTAATAATAAGTTACCACGTTATCTTGCGTAATATTTTATTACAAACATGAAACTGCAGAACGTTACGCAATCGATTTCAAGTTGATAGTATAAACATACTAGTGTTTTACATCATAATTTATATCAAATTTATTAATATGTTTGTGAAATATTTAACAAATATATTGTCATCTTTTATTTATTATATTTGTGCAGAATTATAGTCAACTTTATAATTCTTATTTTTCTATAGAACACCCTGGTTTTAAAACTAATATTTGAAGAGCTTCATTAACAATTTATTGTCACGTTTATGATTTATATTTAATTATTATTTAGGTCACCTTAACAGTTCGAAGCATACGATTTAAAAGAAAATAAAATATTTTGTTTTCACTTATTTACTCATTAGCCATTAGTCATAACAAAGCCAAAGCCAAAATATTGAATTTTATAACTACAACTTTTTGAGGTGGGACAAGCAAAAGTGGGACAGTTTTTTACCCACTTTAACTCACTATATAGTTAATGCAATTGGAATTTGTTCCGGAATAATCTATCAATAACTGTGGTTTTTGAAAGCTCAAATGCTTTAAATATTATCGATTAAAAGTGAGATTTGGAAGGTCCGGGCTGCCCGGATGTGTTTTGTTTTCATTAACCGCGACGGTGCCTTTGTGCTGCAATACACACAGGTTATTTTTTTTGTGTGGGGTGTTGTTGGTACTGTTGTTGTTGTCGTTGCAGTCGGTCACCAAACAACGAGTGAATGCGAATGGAAAAAGTATTGGGGAAGGACGGGCGGCGGCGGCGGTGTCGACTCTGGCTTTGGTAACGAACTTTCGGCCTTCGGATGACAAACGGTCTCGGTCCGAGCTCTCTCTCGTACAAAGCCATTGTGTGTACGTTCGTATTATGTTTGCGAATGGATGTAGTGTGTGCACGGTCCTACAATATACGTACACGTATAGATGTATGCATGTGCTTGTATCTATGTACCTTCGACATTGAGCATAATGGCCATGTTGATCTTGGGCTCCGTATTCACTTGGCATTCGTAGACGCCGGCGTCCCTTTTCTGGACATACTCAATACGCAGATCGTAGTCATCGCTATGTTCGGGATGTCTGACGCTGAACCTTCCATCTCCTGTGTACGTGTGGATGCCGGACGTGAGGATGTGCAGGTCCCTCTTGCGCATCCAGGACACCTGCAAGAACAAAAAGAAAAGCAAGAATGAAGAGAAAAATACGGAGAATAATACCCCCAACGTCCCCGTGCATGTGTGTAGGCACAAGCACGGGAGATGTGGGGGTGGGGTTCACGCGCGCACAAGAAAAATCATTGTAAATTGCCATCCATCAGCGTTCCCCGAGGAAATTGAAAAATGACCAAGGAAATGTGCGGATGTCTCGTGGACGAGATGGAAGTTATCTGGTGCTGGTGCTACTGCATTCTGGTGTGAGGAGACGAACAGAAAATGGGAGAAACGTCTTTCGTCTCTAATCTAATATCCGATGGCGTGAGACAATACAGAGGAACGCGGCCCGAAAATAAATCTTATCACATCATCACACCTCATCACATTTGCTTCTTCCTTTATTATTCTTCCCTATCCGTTACATTTTTTTCTCTACCCTCCATTCTCATCAACTGGATTCTTTTGTTTCATTCCCTTTTCACATGTTCAGTCATGTCATACTACATGCCAAAGATTACATCCCAGCTCTATTGTCAAAATTGTGTCACATTGACATTTACACATTTTGTAATTTCAGATATTATTACCAATTCTAATAGTTTTATATGCAAATTATGGAAAGTAGTTGTTTTTTTTACTTATTTTTGAATATCTCAAATCTTGAACAAAATACAAATTAATTCTACAAAAATACTAAAATTCTTTGTTTACATATTTACGCAGTTCCTAAAGTCCTCAATTAGTGCAGTTTCAAACAGTGAGACATTGCTGTACTAAGTTTCAGATTGTTTTGAATATGCGTATATACCTTCATCAAATTTCATTTTTTTGCACCTAATTAAAGGTATTTAATATCCATAGAAATTGTTTAAATAATAAGAATAAAATCATGGAATATATCGTGTATTTTCTATCAATCACATTTTCTGTTCCTTTTCATTAATAAATTTCACTTTTTCACATTTATTAACAATTCTATGCGGATTTTATATTAAGCTACAAAAAGAACAGACTTTAATAGAAAAACTTTCAGCTAATCCCACATGACTTTCAAGTTACAATTAAATAATCTACTGAAAGTGAAATAATCTACTTTTAGATCCATTATGTAATTGAGCTACAGAAAGAACAACCTTTAATAGAAAATAGAAGACTGCTATGATTAGAAGTTTCAGCTAATCCTAAATGACCTTCAGATTTCAACTATGTAATAAAGTGAAATATCTCAAATCTTGAGAAAAATACAAATAAATTCTACAAAAATACTAAAATTCTTTGTTTACATATTTATGCAGTTTCTAAAGTCCTCAATTAGTGCGGTTTCAAACAGTGAGACATTGCTGTCAGATTGTTTTAAATATGCCTATATACCTTCATCAAATTTCATTTTTTTTGCACCTAATTAAAGATATTTATTACAGATTTAATATCCATAGAAATTGTTTAAATAAAAATAATAAAATCATAGAATGTATCGTGTATTTTCTATCAATCATATTTTCTATTCCTTTTCATTAATAAATTTCACTTTTTCACATTTATTAACAATTCTATCATCCAATTTTATGAGGATTCTGACATAATATTACAATGAATGTGAACGTTATTTCTGTAAAACGTATTATATTAGATAATAAAATCTATTTCTTCAGCGCGATTTTAAATGTAGAACGTAAATGCAGACGTTTTGTTAATGCGAAACTTTGCTCTGTAAATGATTATTTCAGCGAGCATGAGGAGATGATGGAAATGTTTCGTAATCCCTCGTATGTAAATCGCAATACTGCATTACGACTGAGTAAGTGCTCCAAAGTCTTGGAGTATTATGTACTTTAATTTGCATTTCCCAACGGCGAACTAACATTAAACAATGTGTCTCTCTGATCGCACTATTATTACAATAAATATATTTAACAAAAAAAAATATACAGTTGAAACACAATTAAATTTATTTGAAACCTGACTAAAAGAGACTTAAAATAATAATTTTGTGTACTAATTTTTGAGAATTGATTGAAACCGCACTATGTGAGGTATGTTTGTAGTAATAAAATAGATGAATTTATTGATAAAGCGGATTTTACACGATCAATTTGAAAATTGGGGTAAACTAATTTAGAGCTGTTCTTTTTATGATGAAGAGTTTGGAGCAAGTTTGGTCGAACAGTTTTGAGCTTATAATGTATGCAATTGGTTAGGTAACGGGATCCTAATTTACGATTTGAATATTTAATGCTTTACCTTTCGGCATGGAATTCTTTCTAAGCGGATTAATTAAAGATTTTGAGAAGGGTCCGCTGTGGTCGCGATCTGAATGCCTAACAGAGAGATGGCTGGCGTTTTCTCTTTGAACATTGCATAAATCCTTGTTAGTTCCCACTTGGAACATCAAATATATGTGTGTGTACATATGAGTTTTTCGGGTCATAAAAATTGACACGCTTGGAAATTATGTTTGTTCGGGAAAGGGCTGTTCGGTAGAGCGCATTAAAACTATGACTACACTCGTTTTTGTTGATATATGGCAATGAGTTATTGGCAATACGGGAGGGCACGGAAAAAGGGAAAGAACAATGGGTTTAAAGTCGTGCCTTAAAGTGTTTCTCCCTTGGGCCAACTCTTTCTTCTCCTTCGGTTTTATCCTTTTTCTCTCCAGATTCTACTTTTCCTTCTCTTTCCAGTTATATATCATATATACATATATATCCTTCTCCTTCTGATGCACAATCTGGCGCGTGATAAATTCTGCCGACGATAAATCCACGTGTATTTAATATTTTGGCACCCACAAACAATGGGGTTTTAGCGTGGCTTGATCAATAGGTGTACGGGCATGTGTGAGAAAGTTCCCCATTGTAAATGTCTGATAAATGGTGGCCGGAATCTATCTAGCACAGCCTACGTTTAACCCATTTTCAGGAACCATTCGATAATCCTGAAATAATCCACATTCCAAAAGACTCAAATACATTAATATATTAAGCTACAAATAGAACAGACTTTAATAGAAAAACTTTTAGCTAATCCCATATGACCTTCAAGTTACAATTCAATAAACTACTGAAAGTGAAATAATCTACTTTTAAATCCATTATGTAATTGAGCTACAGAAAGAACAGCCTTTAATAGAAAATAGAAAACTGCAATGATTAGAAGTTTCAGCTAATCCTAAATAACCTTCAGATTTCAACTATATAATAAAGTGAAATAATCCACTTTTCAAAGACTCAAATCCATTATGTAATTGAACTACATAAAGAATAGATATTATTAGAAAATACAAGATTGCAATAATTAGAACTGTGAAATAATCCATTTTTCAAAGACTCAAATCCATTATGTAATTGAACTACAGAAAGAACAGCCTGTAATAGAAAATAGAAGACTGCTATGATTAGAAGTTTCAGCTAATCCTAAATGACCTTCAGATTTCAACTATATAATAAAGTGAAATAATCCACTTTTCAAAGACTTAAATCCATTATGTAATTGAACTACATAAATAACAGATATTATTAGAATATACAAGATTGCAATGATTAGAACTGTGAAATAATCCACTTTTCAAAGACTGATATCCATTATGTAATTGAACTACAGAAAGAACAGATATTATTAGAAAATAAAAGATTGCAATGATTAGAACTGTGAAATAATCCAATTTTCAAAGACTCAAATCCATTATGTATTTGAACTACAGAAAGAACAGCCTTTAATAAAAAATAGAAAACTGCAATGATTAGAAGTTTCAGCTAATCCTAAATGACCTTCAGATTTCAACTATATAATAAAGTGAAATAATCCACTTTTCAAAGACACAAATCTATTACGTAATTAGATATCAACTTTTATTAGAAAATAGAAGACTGTTCTTTTAGAATTTTCAACTAATATTTTAGAATTTTCAAATTTGAACTAATAAAGCAAAATAATTTACAATTCAAAATCATTATGGGATTGAGCTACAAAAAAAATGTCCTTTATTACAAAATTGCTATGATTAGAATTTTGAGCAAATCCTATGGGATTTTTATGACACAATCCAGATTTTATCTATAAAATAAAGCAAAACCATTATGAAAATAAGGTAGAAAAAGATTAGTCTTTATTACAATATAAGATTTCGGAATAATAGTTTTCATTTATGATATTCTCATATAAAAGATTTACTAACTATCATAAATTGAAATGAATACTAAAAGCTTCATAAAACTTTACACTATTCAAACAAAAGAACCCAAAACTTGAGATTTGAAAATTATAATACTGTGTAGTTAATTGAATACAACATTAAATCCATGTGAATTGCAAATCAAGGACGAAAAGATGATTACAATGGACCTCTTTTGAGATCACGAAGATCCTCTTTCACTTGGATCAAATCCGATCCATCGGAAAATTCAAATCGGCTCATCCAGTGTTCCAAAAACCCAATCCTCAACCCTCGAGTGTTTAATTAGTCCACTTTGAAAGGGTCTCAGTTCTAAGCCCATTAGTGGACGGAATAAAGTTAAATAAACGAAAACGAAAAGGGTTAACGCAGATAAACAAGGCGCCCCTTCGAATTCAATGCTTTACCGAATCCGAATTTAAAAAAAAATAGAAATAAAGAAGTCGCTCCTTTTATATATATTTTTTCTCTCATTCGTTCACGGCAGTTTACGCTTATCCCTTTTCTTCTTTACTTAAATATATAAGTGTAATGTTGCGTAAACTCGCGCAATTATTATTATTCAAATGTAATCACCTACAACTGGGTCGACCCTTTCGTCAGATCGTTTATAATCATATCTCCTGTCTTCTTTATATAGATATATTTTATTCGAGTCCTTTCGATTTATTCGACTCTTTCGCAGCTGCAGGAGAAGGACCAAAGGCAAATTGATGGATCCGAAACGGTCGGATCAATTAATCTCAGGCGTTGTTTGCGCGCGCGAACTTTCCTCTCCTCACCCACCGAAGAACCTAGGTTTTCGAGCCTAGGATACAAATTAATTGCGCGGAAGTTT